TCCTGGCGAGGAGCACCTCATGTGATCAGACTCTTCAGCGACATCTGGCAAGAGGAGTGTGGGAAGAGAGAGTGAGAGGGACAGGCTAGTGTGTGTCAGCATAGGTCGGGACAGTAGCATAGGCGGACACATCATAGCAGGGCTACTGCATTGTTGTCGTATTGATTGTTAGAGGTGCAAGGAACCCAACTGTTCATCACTTGCTGGAGTGCATCAGATCTCATGCATATACACAGATTTCACAGATTGCGATGTCTCACACAAAGCTCAATAGTAGATGAATGAGAGCCAGGAAGCTCAACTCAATTATCATAACCAGGTTAAGAGAGGAAAACGTGAGTCCAAAATGTATAGCGCTGGCGCTCATCAGCACCAGCTGCCAAACGTCAACATGAGTTCCAGGCCTGGCGCTCATCAGCACCAGCTGCCAAACGTCAACAATAGCGCTCAACAGGTAAGTATCACCATAGCTCACTCCTCCCCCTCTCTTGTCTGCTTTCTTCCCTCTCTCCCTCTATGTCTATAGTCCTGGTCTACTCACACTCACATTGCATGCACACTCCCTATCACACGAGGATCTACTCTGAATACTACTCACTGGACTCTTCTACTAACTATCCCTACTAATGTTCTGACTGGCGCTTGCACAGCTATGGCTGCCTTTCTTCCAGCCAGCGCCCCACTTCACTTTCTCACACTTAGCGCTGCTCACAGCCTGGCGCAGCTCACACACATCTGGCGCACAAGTGCCACAGGACTTCCACACCCTCATGCGAAACAAGCTTCTGTCCAAAATGGAAGGCTGGCCAGTCCTTTATAGTGCTGGACTGGTCTGGCGAGGTCTGCTTTCGGCCTCCAAGTGCCTGGGACTCCAGCCCAGTACCTATTGTTGCAAAGTGTGTGTCCCAGTATCCTTTCCCATGGTCTGCTGCTGCTTTTGGACGTCGGCCTGTCTTTTGGACTTCTGATCTGAATCAGGGCTGACCCGTGGACTGTGACTGAACTGGGATTATGGCCTTTGACTTAATGTCCAACAGACAAGACGTTTCGTCAAACAGACATGACTCTATCTCAGCCTTGAAGTCTGTGTTCAGTACCTGTTCGTCTAGGACCTGTCCGTGACTATTCAAAACGATTTTTCACTTCTTTCTGGATGCGACAAATAACTCAGGAACTTGTCTTTTGGAATGTTGCTCGTGAAATTGAGTTCTGGCCGAGAGGGCCCTTTATGTTGGAATCACAATTACGGGTCTGAGTCGTAAAGGCCCTTTTAGAGGAGCGAAGAGATCTTTCTTGTTCTTGTTCTTGTTCTTGTTCTTGTTCTTGTTCTTCAAGCCATGAAGCACTCTCGTGCTTCCTAGAGCACTGACCATATCAGCACTCTTCAAGCCATGAAGCTCTGTCTTGCTTCCTAGAGTACTGGTCAACTCTCAATTGAGAGGTTTTTTAGAATCCCTAGAAAAGTAGGAATCTGTCAAAATTAGAACAATACCGAGAAGATTAGCATGGTCCCTGTGCAAGGATGACACACATAAATCGAGCAATGGTGGGAAAGGAAAAGGATACTTTTTTTTTTTTTTTTCGTTAGGAAAGAAAGGAGTATGCAGACTTTCATTGTCAAGAGACTTTACTACTTCAGTGCTTGGTGTGTTCTCGGCTTTGCAATTCTGCTTTGATTTGGTGACGTTTTGCATCTCGAAAATTTTGTGTTCTCATTGGATGGTTCCTTGCACTTGCACAGGGGCCATGCTAATCTGCTCTTTATGTCCCAGTTTTGGTGGATGTCCTGAAGGGCATGAATTCCAAAACCTGATTGCCTTTGTTCTGTGGTTTCAGAGGGCTTGAGATTATTTTTGATTCGGCTGAAGTGCCGGACAAGTGTGCGGCAGAGGACGCTTCAGAGGCCGCCATGACAGGGAGGGGAAATGCGGTCATTGACCTTTCGCCCACCACAGGTATAACAAATCTTGGAAGCAGAAGACATTTTGACCCTGTCAGACTGTACTCGGGCGATGCCAGTGCCAAGTGTGTTGTCTGTACTGGGATGGCTAGGGTGTCAAGTGTCCACATACATCCTTGCAATGGCATCAAACTCTTTTTTAGTTCTAAGCATAAATGTTCATATATGGGCCTCGCCACACCACTGTCAAACGCTTGCAAACATCGATAGGCTGTGTGGCGATGCACAACCTCTCGATAACGCCATTTCGAGAGTGGTGTGGCAAGGCCCTATATCTACTCTTGAGTCCCGAGTACCTTTCTCCCTCGGAATGAACTCAGACGATGCCACTGACAGGGAAGGGAAACACGGTCATTGATCTTGCGCCTGGAACAGGTATGGTGCACTCTTTTAGTTGATAGATTCGTGACAGTGTATGTATGTATATACTATGATGCCAGGCCTGGGCAGCCCGGGCTGCCTCTGGCTTCCCGGATGACCCAGCCGAGGTTCTGGGAAGCCGCAGCACCGCCTTTGTAGAGTTGACAACGATAGAGATTTCTCGATCGGAGCGGCGTAGATTTGCTCCTCGACCAACGTTTGCCTGGACCCAGTATGACTCTTGGCGTACTCTCCCCGAGTTCGAACCTGACTCCTGATTTTCTTGAGTCAACTACCTGACATGGGGCACAGCCAGCCTCGTTTGACCCTGGACCCTAGACCTGTCGACCCAAGGAACTTTTCTCAGTCCCCTGTAAGACAAGAGGTGCGGCTTTTGACTCCTGAATCTGGGCTTGGACCAAATATTACGACCCTGGCCTATGTGTGTGCGGATTTTGAACTGAGTTTGTTGCAATGGATCTGGTTTATCTGTTGTAGCCTGAAAGACTTCGAAATGCATGCTGGGTTTCTTAGCAGATTACTTTCTGCAATTTTTAAAGTCGTCTCTAGAGCTTGCTTCCTGTGCGTCCCATCACTTGCCAGCTTTCTTGAGATTTTTGACAAAGTCTGGGAGAGTGAAAGACAGCCTTCGTGAATCAGTTCCCCTCCGTCTTGGGTCGATAACTACTCATCTCTAGCTTGCTGCCCATGAGTGCTTCGGACAGTAAGAAGTAATCAATTAATAAGAATGATGTATGGTTGGCATGGGTTCTTTGACACCAATGAGAAGGCCTTCTTCTCCGTGTGGAGAGTGCGCAATGGTGTGATTTCGCTATAGTCCAGGATCAACTTTCGGAGAGGGGCTGCTTCCTGGGATGACTGGATTGTGGCTGATCTAGGTATACGCTCGTTGATTTGATCAAATGTTGTGTTCCAATCCCCTGCAAGAGTCCACAGTGAAAGATGTGGGATGAGTTGTCCTATGCATTGTATGAATGTGACCCTTTCCAGATGGGTCATTTGGTGCATAAATGTTAATCAGTCTGAACTCTTCTCCCTTCCACTTCAGGTCCATCAGGCACCACCTTCCACTTCCCTTGTCAGCTTTGGAGTCAGTGACCATTCCTGCTTTGTAAGAGTTTTTTTGAATGAGGATTGCAGTCCCTTTTCGGCTTCCCGGTGGACCACACTTCGTCCTTAATTCCTCCCAGTTTTCTGGTGAATAATGTTTTGAGCTTCTTGTGTTCATTAGAATTTTTCATGCGGGAAAAAAATAAGCATTTGTTATACGAGTTTCTTGTAACAGAATAGCATATACTGTTTTGTTCTTATGGTCTCACTGCAAAGTTTTTATCAAAGATTTTAAAATAAAAAATCAGACCAAGCCACAATCCTTTCAAACCCCTTTGAATCCCATTTATATACGCCTCTCTTCCCCATCTGCCTCTCCCCTGGCAACACTGATAAAACAAAAAGGATTCCGTTTTTTTTCGGTCTGATCTTGGTGGGCACAGAAACGCCCCATTGCAGTTCTGGAAGGAAAAAATAAAAATTCCAGGTTTTTTTAGCTGCCCAGGGTGGAGCAAGAAACAAGGTGCCCACCTGAGCGACTTTCTCAAATGCCCCGCCAGGCATTCCAGCCAACCTTAGTGTATATGTATCACAGTCTTGAATTTTTCGGAGAAGTTGACCCTTCTTGTTGTTGGGCTGTAGTTGGTAAGCTAAGATCAGGTGCAATAGTTGTGCAGTTAAGTGACTATTCTGTCACCATGATTAGCTGCTGCACCCTTTGGAAGCCCTGTGGACTGAATATTACAGTTTTCTGAAACCTTGACAGTGTATGCTCTTGGGCTGTAACTTGTAAGCTAAGATCAAGTGTAGTAGTTGTGCATTTGGTTGACTATTGTGTCACCATGATTAAATGCAGCACCCCAAGAAAGGCCATTTTGGTTACTTCTTTGCAGTGCAAGGTAAGCTCAGGTGTAGTATTAGTGCAGTTGGGTGAGTATTATCTCACCATGGTTAGCTGCTCCATTCTTGGGCTGGTCTTTTTGGACCGTTGCCCTCCAGCTGTTTATATTAACGCTCTATTACCTTACAATCGGAAGAGCTACGACTATGAATACCTGTCGCAGACTCCTCCAAACATCTATGCAAGGAAAAGGCTATTGGGCATTGCACGGCCTTCGGTTGGCATGTGGTTGGTGAGTAAGCTGGAGTAAGCACAACTAATCAAGAGGTTCAAGAGGATATTATAATATTATTATTTGGTTGTGCAAGGAAATGAGCAATGTGAATGACAATAAACAAAATTGCCGCATTCCACAGAATCCAGCCCGAACTGAAAGCAGATTGCACATGGACAACACACCAAACAACTACGAGCAAAGCATTGAAGTCACATGATAATGAAAGCCTCCATCTTGCGTCCAGTCACAAATGTCAACAATGTAGCTCTCCTATGTTGGCACTCGGTGCCCAGACTACTGACAGGTCTGCAATTAAGATCATCGGCCCGATGAAGGCATGAAGACTCCGATGTCAATGGCCTGCTCCGTCTTTACCAGGCGAGTGTCTCGGGCACATCGCTCTTCCCCATCTTCCGCTCAAGGACCACCCCTCTCCTCGACCAGCTATGAGCACCAGCAGCCTGGCTATGGCCGCTGCACACTGCCTTCTGCGCACCCAGCAGCTTCCTTGCACCCCACCCACACTCTCTTCCTTCCTGGCCGACTCTCCTCCATTGCTTGTTCCAGCAGCGCTGCCGCACAAGCCTCCAGCCAGAATTGTGGAGTGATCAAGGCTCACTTGCTTTTGTGTTGGATGGTGCGCTTGAGGCCTGGCTGGAGAGGCTGCACCTTTGTACCAGCAGCTGCGCCCAGGGCACCTTCCCGAATGTGCGCAGGGCTCAACTGTAAGCCCATGGCCTCAGTATCTCTGGCAAGGCCCCAGCATTGTCAACCAAGCTATTGGTTGAGCCCTACCGGTTGGTTGGAGATGCTGCATGCAGCAGCCAACCCACGGGGCAGCAATTTCCGCTTTCACCGACCTCAAAGCAGTCCAAGTCCAAAATTTGTAGGCCCGCCTTCACTTAGGGCGGGCACGGTCGTTTCGAGCATTGGTGAAGGGCCTAATTTTTTCACAGTTGTATCTAAAATTGGCCTTAAACCACCAGTACATGCCAGCCATCGGCCGCGGGGCCCTTTCGAAGGCCACCCACCGTCGATTTATTTTATTGACGGTGCGCAAGCCTCTGAAATTTTAGGAGAGGCTCAATTGGACTCTTTCAACTTGACTGGGGTCATGCACTGGTGCTTTAAGAGGTCCTAGAATCTGTTTTTATTACTTCGCTTTTTGCAGCATTCGTTTGTAATCACTGTTGTTGGGATTATCATATTACCCTTTCCCGGGCTTTTCTCCTCTCCTTCTCTCCCCTTTCCCCTGATCTCCCTTTGCTTTGACTTCTCCTCCTTTTCCTTCCTGTCGCTCCCATTTGGCGTTGTGGAATTTCAATTTGGCTGTCATCATGCTTTGGGTCTCCCCTGCTTGCCCTTCTCTTTCTCCTCTTCTCCTCTTCTCCTCTTCTCCTCTTTACCTCTCCATCCTCCTCCTCGTCCTCCTCCTCCTCCCCTTGTTTATCACCTTTGTTTTGGTCGTTGAGATTGGTCTGATGAAACACACACCGAGGCAAATTGCATGTATATTGTGATCTCCTTTCACTTCCTCTCCTCTGTCCTCCTCTTCCTCATCTTCCTTGCCCAGTTTCTCGTCTACGTATTTGTGCATTTTCAAACTGTTGGCCACTGTGTTGTGGTTCTGATCAATTGTGGGCCCCCCCTTTTTTTTTGGCCCCAAATAGATAAGCTTGCGGCCAATTGGATATGTGCTTTTGAATCGATGGAGATCACTCCATCTTTGAGGGAAATTATGGCGCTGCTAGAAGATCCTGCACGCACTGCTGCAGAAGCGGAACTAGCATCTGAGGGTCCTCATGCAGAGATGAAATTTTCGTCGCCGGATTTCGGAGAAAAAGGTGCTCAGAATGACATTCCAGCTGATGTCAATGAACCGGGAGAAGAAGCTGGACCAGGTTCGGTCGACGATGGAGTTGTTGAAGATCAAGAGCTGAGCGATGGAGACGTGGCCAGTGGTTTTGATGGAGGAGGATATGATGATTTTAATGATGGTGGATTCAACCAAGAGGGCGGAGAAGGCCATGAGAATAACGGAGAAGATGACTGCGCTGAATCTCCATTCAACCCTGGGGATAGCAAATTAAAGGTAAATGTTGTGGTGCTAGTACGAAGAGGTATTTGGATGCTGTGGGCAGGTACTCGTCCATGGTGCTAACAGTGCAAAGGCCCATGGGGATGTGTTGATTGTAGGATGGTTGGTAGTTGACCTTTCATCCCATGGCCAACATGTTGCACACTAAACTGCCCTTAACTCATGAAAAAATCACGCAACTCTAAACAAGACAGAAAACCTGCGGCCGTTGCATCTTCTATCCGACAGATGAATTGAAAAGGGGCAGGCCTCCTGGTAACTAGGGTGGTAGTAAAAGGTAGTGGTGGTTTCAGGGAAAGCGCCATTAATGAGAGTGTTGGTTATGGGGCGTGGTTGCACATGGGATAAAGGCGGACTATCCCAACCATCAGCTGTCTGCTGACTGCTAATTCCCTGTCAGGTGGCTGTTAGTTCGCAGAATGAAGTCTGTCTCGTTGTCGATCGATAATGTCTCCCAAGGGATATCCATCACACCGGGGATTCAGGCTGGTAAATGTGCCTGTGCTCGTGGGGGCACATTATACCTGTCTTCCTACTGTCAGTACTCTGATCGGTCTCTGGTTGTTCACAATAGAGTGTGTTTAGTGCACATACACGTGTGTGTGTGTGTGTGTGTGTGTGTGTGAAAGAGAG